AGATATATATATATATCTTAAATTTGTTTGGGAGATTTTAAATGTCCTTACTACACATGAAAGAAATTGTAACTACATCAGGTAATCAATGTGTTAACTAACTTGATTATGATAAGCATTTCCCAATACATACACATACTAAAGACCTTGTAGCTTTGTAGCTTATGTACATTTTATTTTATTGCCAATTATAAAACAATAAAGCCAAAGAAGGAAAAAATAGATAAAACTTGAGGAAACATCATATAATTATAACAGTAAACAACTCTTCAGAAAGAATTTAGGAAAGAGGTCCTTGTGACGTTTAGGTGTGCCCGAAAGGGGTCTCCGGCTTCTCTGCCATATGAGAAGCACTCAACAAATGCCCACTGTAGTATGAGTGAATGAATGAATAAAAAAGTAAGTGCATGGAATTTTTCATAAATAGAATAATTGATCACATCCCTAACATTCTACAGATATCTCATACACATAAAGAACTCATCAGCTGTCTTTATAATGATGGATTTGAGAGCCCACGAGATAGCTCTATAGACTAAGCTTAGGCAAGTGCAGAGGCTGGGTTCAGTCTCCAGCGCCACAGGCTGCCCTGCCCCTGCCCCCGGGCTCGCTGAGCCAGTGACCGAGTCCAGCCCGGGTGGCGCACGTCTGTAATCCCAGTACTGCGAAGGCGGAAGGCAGGAGTATCACTATGAGTCCAAGCTGCACAGTAAGACCCTCTATCAAATACATAAACCACAACAACAAAAAGATGGCCTCGATGCAGACCATGTGACTTCGGAGACTACGCAACTTCTAAGGAGATCTTCATCATCTCACAAACTGACCTTATTTTAATAAGGCAGGGGACATCATTCCAGCCCCATTTTCCATAACGATAGTAATTTAACTCAACACAACGCTCCTTCCCATTATTGGGCTCGCCTTCATGCCAGAATCTGAAAGAGAGAAATATAAGGGCGTTTTTTCCAACAGAAAGAGGCTGGGCACTGGGGATGAACTCGGTGGAAGTTGGTCAGACACGCCCAGATTGACTCCTCACCACTTCATATACAGCTCCTCCTTCACCTGCATGCCTGGCGTGTCCTGTGAACACGGTGCCCGCGTCGCTTAGTGTCCTCCCACCTCACTGCATTAAGTGTACTCCTAGAAGATATCACAGAGCCTTTCGTGTGTCTGTCCATCTTTATGTCCTGTTCACCAGAGACTGTTAGCCCATGAGGTTTGCCTTTAGGCTGAAAAGATTTCACACTGGTCCAGGGTATCAACATGTTTTTGTTTGTTTGTTTTGTTTTGGGTTTTTGTTTTTGTTTTCAGTGAAATGATTCAGGTGCCTGCAGATGTGGTTAGTCTCCAATTTTTCTTTTAGTCAAGTTTTTTTTTTTCACGTGTTATTTAACTTCCTTGATTTCCACTTTTCCCACCTAAAAATTAGCACTAGAGTAAGTGCATCACTATATATTTTGCACAGTAGATGTGAGGATCAAATATGCTAAAGAATTTAAGGATTTTCACAGAATCCTATGAATATGAACTATTGTACAAGTATTCAATTTTCAGATTTTTGCTTCATGAGAAACAGTAAATCTTAATTGGAATTTTAATCAAAAATGTATTTTTATGTAAATGAGATTAAAAAAGAAATAGAATCCACCTGGCCTTGAGGACCATTGCTGGGTGACCTTTGCTGAGCTAGTCACACTTCTAGACTCAATTTTCTCACTTCTAATGGGAAAAAAAATAACGTGGACTTCACGTGGGCCTTGTGATGGATAAATAGATATGAAAACTATTAACCCAGTATCTAGCAGCTTACACAAGGGTGAGCTGTTTTCATTTCATAAATTAGAGTTGAAATACCATGAATTCTCAAGATGATCCAGGGCCCAAGATTCTTTTATCTAACCTTTACTCACGTAGCACTTTTGTTGTACGGTGTGTGATCAACCCACTGCCAATGTCGCCGACCCTCTGGATCTGACAGTCCTATATAATAACCAAAATCAGCTTGCAGATTCTGGACGATGAAATCCTAGGGGAGCAAGAAACATAAGTAGGGCAACTGTCTTTACAGTACTCAGCTTGAACTACATTCTTTCTTTCTTCCTTTCTTTTAAAAAAACTTGTATTTTCTTTACTTATTAAATTATTAGATTAATTGTGCAAATTCATGAGGAAGTATGTGATAATTTGATAAACATCTCCAATGTAAAAGGATTAAACCAGGGTAGTTAACATATATACCTCCCTAAGTATGTTTTAAATTATTTTTATTTATATTGGTTATACAGATTAATGGGTTTCCCTTTGGCAGATTTGTACATGCGCTTAATGTAGCTCTAACCCTACCCCCAACACCTTTCTTACTCTGCCTTCCCCTCTAGCTTTACACTGGGGGAATTTCAATTTGTATAATATATGTGATTGTATCCATCCCTCTTATCATCTGTCTTTATAACACCCTTTAACTCCCCCTTATTCCTTTCCATTTGGCTAATAATAGTCATCATTCTACTTTTTTGTTATCTTTTTTAGATTCTAAATATTAGGGATGACATAGTCTGACTTGTTGCATTCAACACGATGGTCTCCTAATCCATCCATTTTCCTATCAATAACAAAATTTCATTACACTTTATAGCTGATTAATACTCTATTGTGTACATGTATCACAATTCACTCATCAGTCATCTTCTGATGTGCAACTAGGACACTTCCACACTTAGCTGTGGTGGACTGTGCTGCATTCAACATGGGCATGCAAGTTCCTACAACAGGCTGATGTAACTGATGCAGGTCTATACCAAGGAGCAGGATAGCTGGGTCCAGTGGCTGCTCTATTTTCATTAGGTTTCTTGAGACACGTCCGTACTGATTCCAATACTCCCCGCATTAATTTATGTACTTATCACCAGTGTAAAAGATTTCCTTTTCCCCAATATTTTTATCAATTTTTATTTTTTATTTTTTATTTTTTATTTTTTTTTGTTTTTTTTTTTTTGTTTGAGGAGCATAGGGACTACATCTTCTATAAATGTCTTGTAGAATTCAGCTGTGAATCCATCTGGTTCTGGACTTTTCTTTGCCCATAGGTTTTTATTTTTTTTATTTTTTCAAAGTTTTATTGACAAAGAGATAGCAATGAGACAGTTTCAAATCAAATCGGAAGGACAGTTTCAACAAATAATACACTGCATATATTCTTCTTAGTGGTTAATTGCTGTACAAGATGCGGACTTGTGATCCTATTCACAAACACCATTAGAACAAATCATTCTATTCATTAAGAGAATGCAACTATATATCTATCCCAACCTCTTTGAATACACAGATACAAAATGGACATTCGTCGGTATACCCCATTTTTTCTAAGTTACATTATTGAATATTATAGGTGTGTAAACTCAGCAAAATATTCTAAAAGAGTCCAGTAGCCTATAATAGCATTGGGTCTTATATTTAACTGGCAATGTCAGAAATTATTGACCTGAGTCCCCCACAGCTCAACTTAACAGCATGGCTTTATTTTTTATCAATTTTTATTTTTAAAAATTGATTTTATATCCTTTTTTGATGAATTTATTAGGTCTCCAACTATAGGGTCATGTCATCTTGAAACAAGGACAATTTGACCCCATTTCCTATTTGTATCCCATTCATTTATTTCTCTTGCATAATTGCTGTGATAAAATTTTAAAAACTATGTTATATGAGAGTGTTGAGAGTTGACATCCTTGTTTTGTTCCTGACCTTAGAGAATTTTTTTCAGTTTTTCCAATGCAGAATGTTGTCAGCTATGAGTTTATCATACATGACCATTACTACATTGTTGAATAATCCAATACTATCTTTTCTTTATCATAAAAGGATGTTGAATTTTGTCAAAGACTATTCCTGTGTCAATTGAAATAATAATGTGATTTTTATCTTTGATTCTATCTATGTTGTGCATGTCATTTCTTGATTTGCATATGTTGAACCATTCTTGCCTCTCTGGAATGAAATTAAATTGATCACAGAGAATGATCCTTAAAATGTGCATTTGTATTATCTGTATTTTATTAAGTATATTTTCATTATGTCTATAATTTTTTGTGTGATGGGAGGGCTTTTTTTTTTTTTTTTTTTTTTGTAACATTCAATTTTATTATTTCTTTCTCAAGAGTTTTCTTCAGTCCATTAAGACTCAGCTCCCCTTACATGGGCTTTGGTGGAGGTCGTGGGGCAGCACCAGCAGGTCTAAATCGGGGTGGAGGAGTTCGGTCCTTACGGGCTTCACGAGATCGATTTCTGACCACTTTGCTGTGAATGGCACAACTCACACAATAATGCAGCTTCACATACAGCTTGGGAAGCACATAACCGTCGAAGACACTCGCTTCGGAAATGTCCCTGACGGCGGCGGCCTCCACTATGTTCCGAATGACAAACTTCTTAATAGCCTTATCCTTGGGTACGCACCGGGCGCAGTTCGTGCAGCGAATAGGCTGCACATGACCGCGGCCCTTTTTGGCACGACCGTTGTTCCTTCTTTTTTTCGTCATCTTGGAAAAGAGGACCCGAAAGAGCGGGAGGGCTTTGATATCAACTAAATTCTTTAAGGCCAAAGAAAACTGAAAAGAGAAAAGAGCCAAGAATAGTCACATGCGTCCTCTAGAAGTGCCTGCTTTTAGCTGAGCAGGGCAGGGTCAAAGACATCACTTGTGAGTCTGATTTTCATTATATATGCAAATAGTTGTGGTCCATGGTGGTAATGAGCTTTCATCTCAGACTTACTCTGTTCTTGTCTTCACTAAGAGAAGGCATTCTTCAAAGTTCTACATGGGGAAATGTTAATAGACTTAACCATTTTCCCTTCAGAACATCTGAGATCTAATTTAATTCTTAATTATTGATTGTGTCTTCATGATTGAATTTCACTTCCCTATTCAAGTTATTACCCCTCTTTGTTAAGCAATTTACAATACATAAAATATTGAAATCACAAATTAGAATTCCATGCAAAAATACTTTCTTCCTCTTACTCAACCCCATATGTACTGCAACTCTTTCTTTTAGGTTAGGTTAGTTTTAATACATTAGGAACCAGAAACACTATGTGAAGACAGAGGAGGACTCACTTATTGACAGTCTTCTGTCACAATAGAAGGAAACAGAAGGAAAATACTGCTTCAGCAAAAACACATGTACAACAGACAGAGAACAGATTTTATCATCTCCCTAGACTGTACCTGCTCTTCTTGGCTGTTGATCACCACCAGATGAGCCTTCCTTCTGGAGCAGCTCTCCTTGCTCTTGTTCCATGATGTGGAGAGAGTAGAAATGAAGTAGCAACGGGAACTAAACGACTTCCAATTCTTTGGGCAACAACTCCAAACCTTTTCTTTATTGGGATATATAAAAACCACTTTTTAAAATGTGTGTATTATTAAAGTGCAGGCCTGAAGGACACCATGTGGAATCTGCTGGTGGGACACAACTCACATCTTCACCCAGGGATAAAAAGAAGTGTCTACGCATCAGTTGTTAAGAAAGCCAACTAAGGGCCGGCCAGATAGCTCAGTAGACTAAGGCACCTGCTTAGGCAGATCACAGTGATCCAGGTTCGATCCCCTGCATGCCCTGCCAGCCCTGCCCCGCAGGGTATGCTCAGACAGCATTGAGACTGGGCGTGGTGGCACGTGCCTGTAATCCCAGAGTTTGGGAGGCAGAAAACAGGAGAAGCCCTATGAGTCTGATCTCTGACTCATCAATACGAGTCAATCACAATGAGTCTTGGAGTAGTGAGAACCTGTAGACCCTATAGACCCTATCCTAAATTCAGGGGAAAAAAAAGAAAGGAAAAAAATTCAATTAAAACTTAATGTTTAAATGAGACTCAGCCTTCAAGAATACAATGCAAAAATCCCAGGGTTTTCAGAAAATAATTCATCTCAAGAACCAGCAAGTGTTAGAGATAGAGCACAGCATCACAAAATCTGCCTGGCGAGGACAATGTCCTGAATTCAATTCCCAGTATAAAAATAAATTTGAGGAAATTCTCAAATTTTATTTAATTATTTTTAAATTACAATCAATACATGTTAATAAAGAAATCAAAAGTAATAGGGCTATCTTATAAGGATCTTACATGATAAAAATGTTTCAGTGAGAATGAACAAACCTTGAAACAACAGAGAGCTTCATCAAAGAAATACTGAAGAATGAAACAAAAATTTCATATTAAAACTTCAATAGCATCTTAAAAAATCAAATGGGTTCAGCAGTAGAATATAGAGATCAGAAATCAGGGAACTGATAGAAAAGGCAATAGAAACAGACAACTGAACAACAGAGATATAATAAAAAGAAAAATAATAAATGGAGGGTTGTACTATGATTCTAAATGAAACAACAGACATGCAAAATACATGAACTGATTTCAGGGAAAAGAAAAATTTTAAAATATACCTGTATACCTCCTTATAGTTATGAAGTAAATAAGCCACAGTACAGAGGAATTCAAAATTATCATGAACCTAGAGAATCCAATCAACACTTTTAGAACACTCCACTCAAAAGAGTAATAATCTTTCTTTAGAAAATTGAATAGAAGAGCAAAGGCAATCTGGGGCAATAAAGACAAGGCAGGAGGTATTATAATTCCTGACTTGAAATTATACTACAAGACTACTGTGATAAAATCAGCATGGTGCTGGAAACAAAATAGACCTGAGGATCAATGGAATAGATTAGAAGATGCTGAAGCCCCTACAAACACACTCAGCCACCTTATCTTTGACAAAGGGGCCAAACATAATCACTGTAATTAAGATACCTCTTTAACAAATGGTGCTGGAAAAATCTGGCTGTCTACATGCCGAAAACTCAAACTTGACCCAGGTCTATCACCAAGCACTAAACTAAAGTCAAAATGGATTAAAGATCTAAACATTAAAGCAGAGACACTAAATCTCCTGGAAGAGAAAGTAGGATGAACTCTTGAAGACATAGGGGTAGGCAAAGACTTCATGAACAAAAATCAAATCACACAGGAAACAGTTGAAAGAATTAACAACTGGGACCTGCTCTTACTAAGAAGTTTTTTTTTTTTTTATCTGAAAAGAAAGTACCAACAAAGTGAAAAGGCAACCCACAAATTTGGAAAAAATCATGACAAATAAGTACTCAGACAAAGGTCTGCTCTCTACAATTTATAAAGAACTAAAAAACACTAGGGGCCCAAAGTTTAAAGACCCAATTCAGAAATGGGCATTCCAGATGAACACACGCTTCTCAGAGGATGAAATTAAAGAAGTGAATAAATACATGAAAAACTGCTCCACATCACTAGCCATAAGTGAAATGCAAATTAAAACAACATTGAGATATCATCTCATTCCAGAAAGAATGGCTATCATAAAAAAAATCACCCAACAACAAATGTTGGAGAGGCTGTGGGGAAAAAGGAACACTTCTCCACTGTGGTGGGAATGTAGACTGGTGCAACCGTTATGGAAATCAGTGTGGAGACTCCTTAGAAAAGTTGGACTGGAAATCCCATTTAACCAGCTATTCCTCTACTGGGAATTTTCCCAGAGGATCTGAAAACATCCTATCATAGGGATATATGTGTGCCTATGTTTATAGCAGCACAATTTGTGATAGTCAAATCTTGGAAACAACCAAGATGCCCATCACCTGAGGAATGGTTGAAAAAGATGTGATATTTTTACACAGTGGAGTATTACTCAGCTATAAAGAATGGTAAACTGCAAGCCTTTATATTGAAATGGATCCACTTGAACATATACTCATAAGTGAAATAAACCAGACACACGTGTAAATATCATATAGTTTCCCTGGTATGAGAACTCAAAAGAAGAAATACAAATAGAAAGCTGTAATACAAGTAAAAGGAAAACAGAATCTCGAGGACTAACTAATCAAAAGAGGGAAAGGAGATCTAGGAAACATGGCAATGTCAAACCATACAGTTATATGTAGAAGATGGTTAATGCAATGATCCTGAGAATCTTCAGAAGATTTTTGAGTCTAGTAGTTAATTGGAAAGATTCTCACCCTGACTAACTATATATACTGATACCTGTGAACTGAGCAACTGCACTGAAAATGATGATCTGTGGTGGTAGTTTCATGCTTGGAGTGCCTGTCATTCTGGCATTCTGAGTGCAGTCTGCTTGTCATGACATGCCAGTAGTTGCTGTGCTGTCTCTAGGGTAGATGATTATTCAAAAAGAAGGGGGTGGTGAATGAAGGCAAGAAACAGGAAAAGGAATATAGTGGAACTGTCCTGCTTCAAGGTTGTATATGGTTAGATTTTTGCACTTATATGTAAACATAAGAAGTATATAATTCTTTATGCCTATTTTTAAAAATATATTCTAATTTTTAAATGTTTTTTCATCATATTCTATAGGGACTTAAAGTTCAACATATCAATACTTGATGAAAGATACCTGTTTCATGTTATGCCTAAGATGTTTGATATTCATACATATAGTGAGGTTAAGTTTAACAGGCTAGGTTGTATGGTAATAACAATAAGCTTACCTTCTGGATGGTTAACAATCTAAGTTTGCAGACCAAAATTAGAGAAAAAGGAGGGTCGCAAGGAAAGCCAACATTTTGGCCCTAGCCTTCCAAGGTCAATTAAGACTCAGGACATAGGAGAACTTGTACTGTAATGTCATGTAACTCGGTAGTGTCCCAAGTTTTCTGATCAAGGAGACTATGGGGCCAAAGAGGAAAGTGATCGGTGATGTACAGTGTGCTTAAGGTGAGTCACATGGAGAGAAAACATTCTCTCAGGCTTTCACAGAGAGCACATTGGCCAAGCAATGGCCATGACTCATCCACATGGCTGACACTGACAAAGGATCTACAATCTGAGGTACAGGATCTCAGGATAAATCCTGAGGGGATTTCACTGACCTTATCAAACCCAAAGCTACAACTCTTGTTGCATAGGTCCTGCTTTACCTTGGTCTTAACCATCCAGCATAAAAGTATAAAAATGAAGTTAAGAAGTAAAGCCATGCTGTTATGTTGAGCTGTAGGGGACTCAAGTCAACAATTTCTGACATTGCCAGTGAAGCAGAAGACCCAATACTAATATGGACTACTGAACTCTTTTAGAATATTTTGCTGAGTTTACACACCTATAATATTTAAATGATGGAACTTAACAAAAAAAGGCAGATAAATGTCCATTTTGTATCTGTGTATTCAAAATGGTTAGGTAAATACATAGTTACAATCTCTTAATGAATAGAGGCATTTGTTCTAATGGTGTTTGTAAATAGGATATCAAGTCTGCATCTTGTACAGCAATTAACCACTAGGAAGAATATAAGCAATGTGTTAATTATTGAAACTGTCCTACCAATTTGGTTTGAAACGGTCTCATTGCTATTTGTTTCTCAATAAAATTATGGGGAAATAATAAAATAAAATAAAATATATTCTAAAAAGAAAGAATATTAAAGACAAATAGTGTCCTCAAACTACAATCAGTGGGAGCCAACTGAAAAGTGAATTCAAACAAGAAAGCAAGAAATTCTCCAAACACTTGAAACTAAATCACTCTCCTTTACATACATACATAAGATCAAAGGAGAATCAAAGGAAATAAGTGAAAGTGAAAACACAATATATCTAATTCTGTAGGATATAGAACAAAAGTAATAAGGAATCTTGAGAGAACTGGCTTGTTCTAGGGAAAAATATGTACTGTGAGCCTGGGAAGTTTTATAATGTAAGAAAGTGAGAAAACAAAAATACATAGCTGGCACCATGTCAAAGGGGCATCAAAACTGACTGACAAGGCTCCCACTGGCCAAGGTAAAATAAAAAGATAAAATAGTATTGGATCATAATCCAGACTATAAAATGAATATTCATGAGCATGTACAGAGACAAATAATTCAGTAAGTTAATAAATGGCATAGAAGAAGCAAATCTCACAGGAACATAAATTTCATATAAACTACAAAAATATAGTTGATGGTTGATTTTCCTTGTTATTTTGGTCAAACATTCTAGATGTATCTTCCAGGATGTTTTTAGATGAGATTTATGCTGTGACTGGTGACATTCGAGTAGAGCAGATACCCTTCACTGCATGAGTGTGCCTCATGCAATCCATTGAAGATCTTAATAAAGCAAAAGAATGTTCTCCCCTGTGCAAGAGGGCAGTCTCCAACACACTGCCTTGGTCCTCATCCGCAACAATGGCCGTACTGACCTCTGCAACAGACTGGCTTCACTCAAACTGCCACCTTTTCCTGGGTCTCTGGCCTGGTGAGTGCCTACTTCAAATTTTGGAGTGTTTTGCACATCATCAATTGCATGAACAGTATATTTTAAAATAATGTCTATACGCATATTCGCTTGGTTCTGTTTCTTTGAGCACCCTTACTAATACACTCCATGATGAAGGACAGGAAGCACAGCTCTTCAATTCAAATGTGTGGGCATCACATAGTGTCTATTCCAACAGTGCTCTGTGTGGAGAGAAGGGGAAAGGAGTAGTATTACAGTGGAAAGGCCTGACCAAAACTACCTCCTCTAAAGGAGGTGTCAACACCAAAAGGTAAATTCACTACAATAATATATACCTAATATAGTATATGGAGAAAACAGCATTTTATACCTTCTACCTTCCTACCAAAAACCAATAATCCCCATCTAATTATCAAAAAGCATCATATCTAACAGAGAGATATCCTAACATATGTCAATCACTGCTTATAGCTATCAGGATCATCAGAAACAAAGAAATCTGTAAAACTATCATAATCAAAAAGAGATTAAAAAGACAACAAAAAGAAATGTGGTGGCATGGGTGTGTGGACAAGGAGTTGGGGCAGACGAGTTAAGAGTCCCAACTCCTTGGACTCCACTTGCTATTCTTTTCTTTCTCCCCTACTCCTATCTAGTGGTAGTGGGCATTTATATTTGTGATTCTTTTCACTCATTTCCAAATTTTCAAAAATTTTTGAATTGGGGTAGTGGGAAAAGCAAGAAAGGAGAGAGGGGAGTAGAGGCAGAAGAGCAGAAGGAGGACATGGAGATGAAGAAGATTAACCTGGAGTTAAGAAACAGCCCCAGAGGAGGTGACAGAATTGGTTCTTTATAATTTCCTGTGCATCAGTGGGGAAATTGAGGGCTTGAATGACACTTTTAAAGAACTAGAATTTCTGAGTATGGCTAATGTGGCCCTACATTCGCTGACCCAGCTTCCCAGCCTAAATAAACTTCAGAGGTTGGAACTTTCTGACAGTGCAGTTTCTGGAGGCTTGGATGTTTTAGCAGAGAAATGCCCAATTCTTACCTACCCTAATCTGAGTGGAAACAAAATCAAAGATCAGAGTACAGTAGAAGCTCTGCAAAATCTGAAAAGTTTGAAAAGTCTGGATTTGTTTAACTGTGAGATCGCAAACCTGGAAGATTACCAAGAAAGTATTTTTGAGTTGCTACAGCAAATCACATACTTAGATGGATACAATCAGAAATATAATGAAGCACCAGAATCAGAAGAGGTGGAGGATGAAGATGGAGAGCAAGATGATGAAGATGAAGCTGGTCTCCCCAAGTGGGGTGAAGAGGAAGAGGACGAAGACGAAGATGAGGATGAGGAGAAGGAGGAAGAGGAAGAGGAGACGGAAGAGGAAGCTGGCTAGGACATCGGAGAGGGAGAAGAAGTGGGTCTCCATACTTAATGAAAGAAGAAATTCAGGATGAAGAAGACCATAATGGCTATGCTGAAGAAGGAGAAGAGGAAGAAGAAAGTCTCTAGGAGCAGAAGAGAAAACAAGAAGCTAAAGATGACAGTGAGGAAGAAGACGACTAGTTGCTCAATAACCACCCGCCAAAGGACCACGCTTGCTGACGCTCTAGGTGGGCAGTGGCACAAGCATATCTTCATTGCACAGCTCTTCCCTGCAGAAGATAATATGTAACTTTTCATAGGAAAAGTGTGGCTTTACTATTTTTTGCCTTATCATTCCAGTTAAGATTTACTGGTCTGTTAATGATCAGATTGTATGTAAAATTTTCATTGACCCTTCCCACCATTGTGAAATTCTCTAGCAATTTATTTAGAAACTTAATTTTTCTAATTCAAGCACACTGTATTAGTAATTTTTAGCCCATAATTAAGCAAAATTTCTTTTACACAGGTGTAGTTTGGTGCATTTCATTCATAAGATTTTAAGTTATTTGGAAATTAACTGAAACTATAGTCAGCTGTAATATGAAATGACAATAGTCTCTTGAATAATAAGTTGCTTATGTTTTTTGGATATGATTCAGAGAGCTTTAGTTTAAAAGCAGTGACTTTTTGACTAAGGGTACTGGATACTTGCTACACGAGTTCTTTTAGAAAGCAGATGCAGGACAGCACACGACCTACTCAGCAACATATTTCATGAATTTGAGGGATGCTGTTCAGTAATTAATGCAGTTCAGGGATTTTGTGATGACAGGTAAGATTTTATGTTTGACAGAAACATCACAACTGCTCATACCAAGTCCAGAGGCATGCGGTGAGCCCTCCCTATATGCCCAAGTTTGTGCACTGGGTCTTCCTCTAGGCGATTGCTGTGCTCTCCTCCCTTTCTTGCCCACTGTGTCCCAGGAGTTTAGGCCCTTGGAGTCCCAGGAAACCTTTAGTCTCATACCTTAGTCACTTTTTTAGATCTGGCTAAGTTTTAAATAAGTGAGGTGGAAAAAATTGATATTATTTTCAGATCCAAATGTTGTTGATACAGTTTTATTCACCAGGTTCTGCTTAGGATAGAAGCAAGAGAGGCTTTTACAGGTGGTATTAGTGTTTCTGTAAAGCCTGGACAGTTGCCTGATGATAATTAAATTTAAATTGGCTTCCCAAAGGACTTGGATGACAATTCTATGAAGTATTTATAGTTTTCCTGAAGAGAACTTTAATTATTCCTATAGTTTTAAAGCAATTACCAGATAACATTATTGAATATGGTAGGTGGAAAAATATTTGTAACCAAATTGATACTAAGGTTGATTTTCAAGCTAGTGCTCATTACAAATAGAACAGCATTTGTGTTAAGTGTGAGCATGTGCACATCTGGCTGTTGAACGGAGCCTGACAAGGAAATGAGCCCCTTTCTCTCTTCTCAAGGAGGCATCCTGTCCATGGCAGCTGTGCTGTTATAATGTTTGCTGTCTGAAGTTTTTTCTCTTTGAATAATTGTAAGTTTTTAAAAAGTGTCAGCAAATTGAAGTTATGCTTCTCTACTGGGACACATTTAAACCAGTATGGTATTGTTGATGCTCTTTTTTTAGTTTAAAATGGAGGTCTTTGAGTATTAGAGTAAAAATTATGAAGTTATTTGTGGAGAAACTAGAAAAGTTGCAAACTGGCTGAAAACACAGGATAAATTTATCAAGAGCCTGGAATCTCCTGAAGGCCAATTTTTTTTCCTTATTTAACAGTTGGAATGTCCTATTTAGTCCCTAAGCATTCACAATGCATACTATGCCATCAATAAGTACAAAATGCTTATTTTTAAAATTAAATCTATACATTGACTTTCTTATCGATCATTTTATTATGCAATCATAATTAGAGTTCTTTGGTTTGACAACAATACTTACAGCCCCCACATAACTTTTAAGACTTATGTAGCTTTGTGGGTGGTATTTTCATGCAAATAAGTAAGGGTGGGTTTTATATTTTGTAGAAGTTTTGGGTTCTATTTTAATACTCTTCATATGGCAGTATGTATATAATGTGTTAAAGGTCCTCATGAACCTTTCCCTAAAATCTTTGAAGTCAATACCCTTGTGCAACTGTGTTTTGAATAAAGCCTTGACAGTGTTAAAAACAAACAAACAAAAAAGAGGAATGTGAAATTCTGGAAGGAATTCTCAAACAGTAAAAGAACATTAGATGAGAATTTAAAATACGTAAGTATAGTCAGGAACTGCACTGACAGTATGTGACCAGTAACCAGCATGTTAACACTGGTTCATTAGCTAGAATCAATTCCTTTGCTTATGTAAAATGTTAGTAGCAGAGGACCATATACATTATGTGCCCAGAACAGGTTTAAAGTATTATATTTTCAGATTATCTGCCCAATTTTTGTAAACATGAAAATGTTCTTAATAATATATTGATTTAAATTTTATTTTTGCTACCAGAAATTGAACTCGGGACCTCATACTTACCAGGCAAGCTCTGTGCCACTGAGCTATATCCTCTGCCCTAATTTTTTTAAAATGCATTTGGTACAGGGTCTCGCTATGCAGTTCGGACTCACAGTGATCCTCCTGTTTTGCTGGGATCACAGGGGAGGACAGTTGCCTGTTGATAATTAAATTTAAATTGGTTTCCCAAAGGACTTGGATGCCAATTCTATGAAGTATTTATAGTTTTTCTGAAGAGAATTTAATTATTCTTCCTATAATTTTAATGCATTACCAGATACATTATTGGATATGGTAGGTGGAAAAATATTTGTAACTAAATTGATACTAAGGTTGATTTTCAAGCCGATGCTCATCACAAATAGAACATGAGGACTCAGTGGCCCGGCTCAGTGTGCAGAACTGGCATGCCATGGGGTGTCAGAGATCGAACCCCGGTCCCTGTGCTTGCCTAAGCAGGTGCCTAGTCCACTGAGCTATCTCACTGGACCTTTATGACAAATAATTCCTATTTGTCATAAAGCAGTCACTATCATCATTTTCATCAAATGATTTTAACTGCAATGAGAAAGAAAGAGCAGTGAGCACAAAAAGCTCAGAAAGAAGCAAAGGCTGAAGGAAACCAAACATAGTGCAAACTTTGATACATGCAAGCCTCACACAGACAAATTAAGGTGCACATCTAAGAACTTCGTGTTCTATGTATTTGTGCACTTGAAGCTTAAAATGACAACTAGATTCCACTTCTCAGTAGGATCTTCCCGAGATCCTAACTAGAAATACTGGTGTGGGATCCTTACATTCTATAGCAAGCAGTGCCATTCTAGATACATAAGTTTTACCCTGTGTGGTCGAAGTGTCTTTTACACACTCCAATTCTGTCTGAAACAGTCCTCTTACAGTGATGTTTTCTTCAAGATGCTGGGAATATTTTTGAAATAAAACTGGAAAAGAAAATAAAAAGCAATCATTGTCCAGGTAGAGTACTAATTTTTATTGTTACTCTCTTGCATTCCTTATACAAACCAAAGTCCACAAATATGCAATTATGCAAGTAGACAAAGACTGATTGGAAGGGCCGGGCAGATAGTACAGTGGCAGAAGCACCTGCCTGGCAAGTGCAAGGTCCCAAGCTCCATCCGTGGTACTGAAAAAAAGAAGAAGGGCTGGCAGTATAGCTCAGCAGACTAAGTGCTTGTTTAGGTAAGCACAGGGGCCAGGTTCGGTACTTGGTACCACAAGCTGTACCAGTCCCTCCTCCCAGGCACAGTGAGCTGGCGATGGAGTCCGAGTGTGGTGGCACATGCCTGTAATCCCAGCACTAGAGAGGCAGAAATCAGGAGGATCACTACGAGTCCCAGCTGCATAGTGAGACACTGAAAAAAAAAACCTGATTGGAAATGATTTCCCATCACTCCATAGTTAATATGATCCTAACCGTACTGACTGTGAAACATAGATATCTCCAGGAAGAGCTGAAAGATCACTAGTGGGGGAGGGGGGGAGACGTATTTCCATCAAAATAGGACAACGTTTCCTTAATATGGAAATAATTTCCATATTGTCCTTTCCATATGTCCATTTCCACATTGTCCTTTATTATGTCATGTAAGATGCTTACAAAGGCTAAGTCTTGGGAAAGAGAGGAATTATCTGATTCTCAGGGGTCTGAGTTAGACAATAGAAAACTAAACCAAAGGAATCCAAAATTCATCAAGAGAACTTTTCTCTCCTTCCCCTGCTCCCTTTAGCTCTTTCCACCTCACTGGCCCTGACTGCTCAGACCATCAGCTTTATCCACCATTCTCATACCAATATTCCTGTGGATGTTGTGCATTCTTATATGTTACCTTCTGCCTTCCAAACTCTTATTCCATCCCAAATCCAAATAAATGTATCTCCCACTAGACATTTGAGATTTCACCCAGCATCCCAAAATTTGTCTTTCACTTACAGCCTAAGTTGGTATTCATCCTGCTTTCCCTCCCTCTTTAAATAACTTCATGGTCGCTTCATTTACCAAGGCAACATGACAGACACATATAATCTCCCTAGGTTTGCATGCACAGATTTAAACCTTCATCAACCCTCTACCTGGATGATTATTTTTTACCACATAAAGCCCCTTCTTTCTCCTCTCTTCACTATCTCTTAGTCAGACTCACTATTTCTCAGTTGAGTGTTGTTTTACCCTTCTAACGTCTTTCCTTCAAACCTCTCTACAAAGCTCATTTCTATAATTCAAAAATGATTGTATTAATAACCTGCATAAAATTCTTTCACAGTTCTCCATGACTGTCAAATTGCAAAAATAATTGCAATTATAGACAACTACTTTATTCACACCCTTTCAACTCTTTGCAGCTTATCCAACCTAGAACACAGGTCTATTCCTCCATTTCTTGAATTTAGACTGAACTTAAGCCTTCCTTTGACTAATAAAATGTGCAGAACCACCTCCATGCTAGGTCCAAGTTGAGCCTCAGGGATGCCTTGAGTCCACCTCAGGCTGCGAAGTCTGAGAGATGCAGGGTGATCATAAGCTGGATAATGGAGGATGGCAGAAACGTGTCTCTAATTTCCCCTGGGACTCCAGCTAACATTTTCTTCCTCCAAAGCTGTGTCACCTGTGATGGCTCCCTGACTACACATGCAAGAGTGAGCTCAGCCAGGGCCGAGGACCTTGCTACTGAGATCATCTACACGGTCAGCCCCACAGACTGGAGATAAATATTTATTGTACTCTGCTACACTTTAGACTGGCTAGTTAAGCAGGAAAAGATACTTTATAAAATAGTCAGGAGGGAAATGCACCTAATGCTATGAAACACTCACGATCTGATCTTTGGAAATGTCTGCCGCTTATAGTTTCACATCTTCCTTTATCACGTTAACACTATACATTCCATCTACGCATACTTGTATTTCCCCCAATTTTCCTTTTCTCTTATATGTTTGTGCCATCCTTAGTACACACAACTCTGGATGCCTCCTCTGGGAAGCCTCTCTCGGACTCCTGTGCTTGCTTCTCATGGATGCAACACTTCACACAAGGTGTTGCAAGCACTGCCTCATTTGTCTATTCAGATTTCTTGAAACCAAGGGCTGTGGCTCTTTGAAACTGTCTGAGGTAGGTGTGGTGGCCCACACTTGTAACCCCAGCACTTGGGAGGCCAAGGCAGGAGGATTATCATGAGTTGGAGGCCAGCCTGGGCTCCACAGGGGTCTGAGGCCAGAATGAACTGCATAGCAAGAACCTGTCTTCAAAAAAAGAAGAAAAAATGAAACTGTCTGACACATTGATCACATACATCAAATGGCTCTTAGTAATTAGTATTTATTGATGAACAAATGAATGGACATATCTACCAAAATATGCTAGATCTATCTTTTTTGAAAAATGGGATAGTGTGCTCCCGTAATCCCAGATCTTGACCTCACACAGCCTTTGGGGAGTCACAATAATTCAAAGAAAATTCACTGGAGAACTCTTCCTGGAAAATGTCCCCCACCACCTTCTCTTTTTGTCTGTTTGCTCAGCACAAAACAAATGTCTGCATACTTAAGAGAGTTCCCACTAAAGTCATACATATGTTTTCACATTTACCTTGAAGCTGATACTGACATGATACCTCAGAAATTTCACTCCACAGAACCCACATGGACATATGTATTTGCTCTAAAGAGAATGGAGTCCATTATTTTTACAGTCAAGGAAATAAAGTCAAAAAAAGACCAGAACTCTCAATGGATTCTCATCAATTATATATCCCCAAGTGAAACTTCTTTTTTAGCGTTCTGGATGAATCCATTGTGAAATGACAGTTTCCAGTAGACATCTTGTCATCACAGAAGTCACACATTGCTTTATTGATTCAAATGGTACACTTACTGATAGAAGGGACAGACAATAAGATCATCTTCAGCACAAAGAGTATCATCATCGAGGCCAGAAGCAGCTTATGAATATAAGGATTACTTGTGTGAAAGCTGGCCTTCTCCTTGGGATCTAAAGAAGAAACTAAGGTAGTTACTTACTTCAGTAATAAATTTCGCCTACATTCATCTTCTTTCTCCTCTTATTCTCCGTTTTCTTATACTGTATACATTAACTAACAGTATGAACATTTGAAATTATATGAAAATTGGGTAGAAAAAATTATAATGTTTGCAATAGAAACTTTACTAAATTCAGAAAAGCACAACTTTTTATCTTTGAGAATAACTATTGTTATCCTTTTAACCATTATTAAATTATATAGGTACATTATCTCATGATACAGCTTGCAGAAATCTGACCTACTATTTTCTCTTACAGTGAATCATAAACAGTTTTATATCATCATGTTTTCTTCTTCAACATAAATAACTGCATAATATTTCATTATCCATGTAAATATTCTTTGAGATTGCTTCTCACTTTGAAAAATGTGATACTTCACAAATCTTTACAATTATGTTTCACATTTGCAAGGTAAGGTCTGTCTTCATGGTCATCATCTCATGGTTAGAAACCATTTAGGATCAGGACTTTAGCTTACTGGTAGAGCACTTGCCCAGAATCTATAGACTCGTATTCACTCCCTAACAGTAGGTTGAAGTAAAAACCTCCATCAAGATAGAGTGCTACATTGGCCAAGCAATGGCTGTGACTCATCCACATGGCTGACACTGACAAAGGTTCTACAATCTGAGGATAAATCCTGAGGGCATTTCACTGACCTTCTCAGACCCAAAAGCTACAACTCTTGTTGCACAGGTCCTGCTTTACCTTGGTCTTAACCATCCAGTAGAAAAGTATGAAGACAAAATATGGGAAGTAAAGTCATGCTGTTATGTTGAGCTGTGGGGGACTCAGGTCAATAATTTCTGACATTGCCAGTTGAACAGAAGACCCAATGCTATTATGGGCTATTGGACTCTTTTAGAATATTTTGCTGAGTTTACACACCTATTATTTTCAATAACGGAACTTAGAAAAAATGGAGTATACCGATGAATGTCCATTTTGTATCTGTGTATTCAAAGTGGTTAGGATAGATATAGAGTTGCATTCTCTTAATGAATAGAATGATTTGTTCTAATGGTGTTTGTAAATAGGATCTCAAGACCGCATCTTGTACAGCAATTAATCACTAAGAAGAATATATGCAGTGTGTTATTTGTTGAATCTGTACTTCCGATTTGATTTGAAACTGTCTCATTTCTGTCTATCAATAAAATTTTGAAAAAAAATTAAAAAAAAGAACATGTTAGGCAAAAAAAAGAAAAAAACTTTTAAAAAAAGATAGAGTGCTAGACAAACAAAAACCATTTTCTTAAATTTACCATATATCATTAGAGAGGAAAAGTACTTTAGTGTTATATAATATGAGTTCATTATTGGAAAGAAGTACTTATATATAGATGAGATGAAGACACATTAAAATGTAAATCATGGTTTTTGATGGCCAGAATGAAGAGAGAGTCATGAATCTTTTCTGAAAATACAGTTCTATTTTTTTATTTTAGAGTGGAAAAAAGATAAACATAACAAGGAGACTGAGTTTCAAAACAGGTTACAATGACAGCTACAATAGTTGATATATTTCATATTGTTGTCTTCCTAGTGGTTATTCAGAGTACAAGATATAGGCATGATATCTTGTCTACACTGTATTAGCACAAAACTTTCCTTTCACTGTATAACTATCTTGTATATACTTATATCAACATGCAATTCTACAGCCTCTCTTAATGCTAATCCACAGGCAACTCAATCTGCTGGGACTCTGGCGCTTCTTCAGCATAGACACTTGAAGAACCAGCAGCTAACATTATCAGGGTCTTGTTATTCATCTTCTCTTCACCCTTCACCTCCCAATTAACTGTGACTACTCTGAAATAATCTTCTTACCTTCTGCAGAGCCTGATCTCACTTCCACACAAGTCTTTTCTGAAGCCATGTTGAGGTAAGACTTTCTGCCTTCTCAGAAAATATGCTCCATATATGTCTCACAACATGTTATAAATAAGAAATAAACATGTTAGTAAGGTATCCAGTAATTAAACAAGATGACACCTTTCACAATAAGTGGACAGGTATCCTGAGAGAAATGTGTGAAAATGACTACAGTGCAGAGCCACTCCGTCCACAAAAAATGTCCAGTTCCCAAGACCAGCACAATGAAAACCGCAGCCTTTGACTGCACTAAAATTATACAAATACAACAAAAGTGGGAACTCAAAATGCAGGAGAACAAAATAGGAAGGAAATGAAAAGAGGAACCAAGAAATTAGAAAAGTCCTTCCTGAGAACTGTGGTGTATGAGCCCATCATCAAAGAGAAAAATTCATGTGTTTTCAAGTCAATTATAATTATTTATAAACCAATCAAAGTGAGCAAACATTTGTACATAGTACATTCGTCTCATAATTTGTGGCTGATAAATAGCTTATGGGTACCATTCTAAGAGTATCACTGATGCAAACTCAGACATTATCCTCCCCCCCTTTCCCACCCTACTGTGGTGGGAAGGGACTTTAGATCTTTTTTCTGAAGCTGTATTTCTCTGCTCTTAGCTTTCCCCAGCTGGGTATAATTAATTCAGTTCCAAGATAGTAGACTCTGACTCTTTGGATTTCTCCAAGTAATAGGACTTTTGTGTTACATGTGGTGGTCACTGATGCTTTGTGCTGCTGAAGTCTTTCATGGTGGCCCCAGATAGCATGTAATAACAAGAGTGTTCAGGTTGGGACTGGATAGGCAGGAACAAACCATGTGATTCAAGTACAGGGATTTTGAGCCTTGAGATACCTGCCCAGGCAGCAAAAGGATACTGAACATTGATTTTAACCTTAGGACCAATAATGCAATCAATCCTGCTATGTAATGAACTGTAGTAAAAATCTCTGAGCATCAAAGCTCAGAATAGTTTTCAATTGGAAATACTCTCATATTCCTCAAATTAAAAGGCTGAAAGTTAGAACAGACATGGGTCTATGCAAATTTCACATTTGAGACCTTCATAAACTTCATCCCATATGTTTTGATTTGTATCTTTTTTATATAATTGCACCATAATTGTAAATATGGCATAATCCTGAATTCACAAAACTATTTTTGTAATTATCAAACCTAGTGAGGTCAAGGGGATCCCAAAATTTCGGGTCTGTTGATTGGAAATGAAGTCTCCCTGAGAACACGTAAACTTGTGGTTGGAATCTAAAGCAAGGATAGTCTTGTAGAAGGAACAGCGTTAACCAGTGTCTTAGTTACTCTTCTCTCATTGCTGAGGCAAAATGCTCAACACCCAGAATCAAGAAAGGAAAGGTTTATTTAGCTCATAACGTAGGTTTTAGTTCATACTCAGTTGGCTCCAATGCACAGCAGTACATGGCAGAGAGCAACTGTTGTTCAGAGTGGTAGAAAACAGCAAAGAGCAAAGAAAGGGGCAGCAGCTATTACTTCTAATGAGCCTCTCTTCCCTCCTTATGTTGTAATTCAGATTACGCACCCCAGGGCAGGGGTAGCACTCACACTCATAATCCCTACATTAGATAATGAATTAATCACAAACTCTAGAAGCCACCCCATTGACTACATGAGACTTTGCAGGAACACATAGATACAAGCCATAACAATCAGTAAAAGTTGGCCTAACTCTGGTAGTTAGTGGAAGTTGTTATACTACCTCAGTACTGTTAATTTCACAGAAACAAAATAATTACCATGGTTTGTAGGTGAGGAATTTTTTAACTTTGAAAAGTTATTTTCTTTTTTAGATATTTTCTTTCAGTGTCTCTCTATGCAGATGGCCTTGAGCTCACCCTATAGCCCAAATTGGTCTGAAACTCATAACAAGCCACCTGTCTCAGCCTGCTGAGTGCTGAGATTACAGGCATACATCACCACACCATGCTTGGCAAGTTTTATTTTATTTCATTTTAAAGAATAAAAACAAATAACAAAACAAAGAATTGGGTCAGCAAAATAGCTCAGCAGGTTAAAGTGCCTGCAAGCAGGCACAGGGACTGGGGGTTCAATCCCCAGGCCTGGCATGCTGGCCCAGACACTGCAATGTGTTGAGATGGCAATTGAGACTGGGCGTGGGTGAGTGTCAGTAATCCCAGCTCTTGGGAGGCTATAAACAGGTAGATCACTACAAGTAGGATCTAGTAGTGGGACCCTGAACACCCTGTTGACCCTTCCCTAAAATACAAATAAATAAATAAATAAATAAATAAATAAATAAATACATCTTATCAGATATTGTTTTGCTATTTTTTTAAAGTAACTGTTCCAATTTTGTTCACTTTTCTAGGCTGTAAAAAAAATTCTTTCAAACTGCCAGTTATCTGGGGCAACCATTATGGAAATCATTGTGGGGACTCCTTAAAAAACTAGGACTGGAAATCCTGTTCAAGTCAGCTATCCCCCTACTGGGAATTTTCCCAGAGGAACTGAAAACATCATATCATAGTGACATATGTGTACCTATGTTTATAGCACCACAATCTGTGATAGCCAAATCTTGGAAACAACCAAGATGCCCATCACCTGAGGAATGGATGAAAAAGATGTGGTATTTTTATACAATGAAGTATTACTCAGCTATAAAGAATGATAAACTTGAAGCCTTTATAGTTAAGTGGATACCACTTAAAGATATAAGTGAAATAAACCAGACCCACATGTGTAAATATCATATAGTCTCCCTAGTGTAAGAACTCAAAAGAAGAAATAAAAAAGGTATAAAAAAATTGAAAAGAAAGCAGGAACTTAAGGATGAGACAACAAAGAGAGGGCAAGGAGAAAAACTAGGAAACATGACAGGGGCAAAGCCATACATTTATACGCACAAGATGGTTAAGGCAATGGTCCTGAGAATCTTCAGCAGGTTTCTGAAACTAGCACTTAATTGGTAGGATTCTCACCCTGACTAACTATATATGCTGATACCTGTGAACTAAGCAACTATACTGAATTGCAATGTGTAATAGTAGGGTCATTCTTGGAATGCCTGTCTTTCTGGTCTTCTAAATACATACCGCTTATCATGACATACCAATCACTGCCATACTGTCTCTCAAGTAAATGTTCATTTTAAAAAAGAAAGGGTAATAAATGAAAACAGACAAGAAAAAAACCTTCCAGCTAAATATTAAAGCACATGAAAACACACACACACATACACACACACACACACACACACACACACACACACACCCCACTGGTATTTTCATGAGATGATATTTTAAGAATAAATGGGAAGAAAACTGCTTTATGGCTTTATTAAAGAAACGCATACTGTGGAGAGAACATCTGAAAATTGGCCAGAGGGCACAAACGTGTCAAGGTGTACAGTGAAGCAGCATGTGGTTAAATCAGTGTGGAAGAACATGCAGAGGTTGGACACAGTGTGTTCATCAATCATTTTTATACTAGCAGAGGCTCACAGTAGATACAAGATGGTATACTTTCAACTTGTTGTTGCCCATGTGCCTCATGTGTAGATAAATATATTTTCTACCTGTGGGGTTGTGTGATAATTAAATATGATCCAGATAAATCACATACCTAGCACTTAGCAAATGACCAGTGCTTGAAAAAGTAGGGATAGTATCTTTCAATTTGAAGTTTATTTTCTCCTTTAAAATCATTGAAGTGGGAAAGAATAATAAGAACAAATAGTACAGAGATGCAGTTCATACATAGAATAGTTCTGCATGTAGCAATGTCACAGTGTGTGACTGGGAGGGCACAGAAGGTGAAAGATTACTCAGAGAGGAGATTTTAGCTTAGTCACCAAAAGATCCCGAGGGGCTTCAGCGTCAGAGAATATCAGGAAAAGAACACTGAGCTGAGATCTCTGCAGCTATTTATTTAAAACTCAAGGACATGAGAACAAAGATATAGAAGAAAAATATTTGCAACATTTGTATAGAAGTTTTATCAATAAAATCATGGAAAAAAAATAAAAATAACTAAAAATTACCAAAAAAAAGTTTTTAAAAAGAAGTTTTGATCATGGTACAGGAAAGCAATAAGATATTTAGTTATGTGACACATGTCAACTTAATTTAGACAATCTTGTTGGAGAAGAGGGGACACAATGGTCAAAGCAAACATCTCTGTGAACAGCTTATTGTTGATGCTGCCGGCTGGTGTCCTGCAGATCTGCTCTAACCTGACCATGAATTCCAGAAGTCTTGGACTGTTGCTCAGACAGTGCCTTCCTTTTTTGCATGCACTTCAGTCACTCCTTTGGCCAATATTCCCCTAGAGTGGTAAGTTCCACATTTCTTTGGAGCTCAAGTATTAACATCTAACTGCTTAGGAAGGAAGCAAGTCTTCATGAGTAGGCAGTCTCATTGAAGTTTGAGGCATAGCTTTCTAGATGAAGTTCTCTTGGGAGAATCATTTTGACCGATACAGAGCAGGCCCACCATAGCACACAAGGTCTATTGAGGTTGACAGCCTTGGGAAATGTCCCAGAATACCTCTACGGGTATGCAAGTCACTCTGCTGCAGTCTAAGCTCACAATATGCCTGTGAAAATTTAGGGTTTTTATGTGTTTAAGAGTCCAGTACTAGAGATGGTAATTCCTCTTATGGCATCTGATGAAATGTAAATATCTGGCAGGAAGGTGCTCACACCTACATTGTTATTACAGGAAAACCACTCATCTTCTAAATATAAGAAGTAGAAGTAAAAACGTGAAGTTTTGTGTGGAATAGAAGTCAAGCCACTTTCAACATAAAATAGAATCTAATGCCTATAAGATACTTACACTGACAGACATGGTGGTTGATACCCGTCTATATTGTTGTATTGCAGCTGAAGCAGGAAGATTGCAAATACAAAACCAGCCTGAGTAACTTAGTGACTTAGCAAGATCCTATCTCAAAAGGAAAAGGAGATGTGGCTATGGTTTACTGGATTTGATCCTCATTAATTTAAAAAGAAAAGGGAAATCTACACAAGAAAAAATAGCATCAAGAAAAAATAAAATATTTACTAATCAATCCAATGAAGGAAGTTAAATACCTTCACAATGAAACTACAGTATTGTTAAAAAGACAATTGAAAGGAATGTTGGGCTGGGGAGATAGCTCAGTAGAATAAGC